CTTATTCTTTGAGTTAGGGTCTCTCAGTCAAACCCAGAACTCACCAATTTAGCTAGTCTCACTAGCCAGCTTGCCCCAGGGATCCCTTCTCTGCCTTCTGAGGGCTTGAGTTACATGTGGGCTGCCACATCCAAACAGTGTTTATGTGGGTGCTGGGGACCCCAACTTCAGCTTCACATTCGCATAGCAAATGCTTTAACCACAGAGTCCTCTTCCCAGCCCAAGCTTTCCATTTCTGTAGAACTTGGGGTTCACAACAGAATGGAAATATACAAAGAATCCCCCCCACTTCTCACCCCGAGTGAGAGCACTGCCCACAGCAGTCTTTCCTGTGATCAGTGGTGCCTCGGTTTTGATCAGTGAACTTGCACTGCCCTGTCAGTCAGTGTTACCCAAAGTCTGCAGCTTAGATTGGGGTTCCCTCCTGGTGTTGTCCATCTGTGATTTTTATGATGTGCTGGGTGACACACATCTATCCTCCTAGTGTCTAAAGGTGTATTTTGAAAGCTATGTGCTGGCAGGTGGGCAGCCCCAGGGCTGTGGGTGGAACCTTGGCAGTTTGTTGCTGTGGAATATTATTTTAAGGTGTGTTTCTTTTTCTTTCTTTTTTTTTTTTTTTTTTTGGTTTTTGAGTGGCAGGTGGATCTCTGTGAGTTTGAGGCCAGCCTGGGCTACAGAGTGGGTTCCAGGAAAGGTGCCAAAGCTACACAGAGAAACCCTGTCTCGAAAACAAGCCGGGCGGTGGTGGCGCACGCCTTTAATCCCAGCACTCGGGAGGCAGAGGCAGGTGGATCTTTGTGAGTTCGAGGCCAGCCTGGTCTACAGAGCGAGATCCAGGAAAAGGCGCAAAGCTACACAGAGAAACCCTGTCTCAAAAAACCAAAAAAAAAAAAAAAAAAAGAAAAACAAAACAAAACAAAAAACCCCAAAAATTTGTATCAGTATACAAGAATCAATACCAATGTGAAATATGAGACTAGTAGTTGTTTTTTTTTTTAGTTTAAAAGTAGATTCAATAATCTACCCTTTGCTCTATCCCTCCCCTCCCCCTTTTTTCGGAAGAAGATCCCTGAATCTAACCTCCATTGTTCAGTTTCCTCCCTGACCATGACCAATAGCAACCTGTAGCCAACCCCCCTAAACAATGACAAACATCCACTGAATTACCGGGAACCACCCACCCCACCTTGTGGGAATGAGGGTATTGTATTCTTTAGGTTGCTTCCTGTTGTCTGGGGGCAACAGCATCTCCAGGGGACTCTTAGAAAACTGACATAATTGTCAAGTTCTGGGAGAGCTAGCTGGCTGTATTATTTTTTTGTTTAGTCTCTGTGTGATAAGAAAGTGTAGAGCTTATCTGAAGTCTTGGCTGGAGTAGTCTGTGAAGCTGGACCATCTCAGCTAGCAGCTTTGAAATTGTTCTGGATGTAGATTTTTGAGGAAACTGTAACTGAGGCACTCTGAGAGGCTGGGTCACCTGGGCTACTTATCTTTATTTGTGTCCGGTCCTTTTGTTCTGAACATACAGACTTTTAAAGGTAACATACACATTTGTATTAATACAAGTATGGAATATGTGGTGTGCACAAGTCAGCTAAAGATGATTTGTTTTATGTTTGAGCAGGTAAAAGACATCTGTCAATTTTATAAGTCCATTTAGACTGTATAACCAAACTGTTATGAGGACCTTGTAGCCAACAGGATTTATCACGTTTCATCCCTCAGAGCTGTTCCCATGTAGAGGGATTGGCATATATGTCACCTGTCCTGTAGTTTTCCTGGCTTCCTCCCTCACATCTGCAGCCAAGATCCTCAGGAGGTCAAATCTGATCTTGATTAGCTTTGAAGGGATCCATAGCTTTTCATTTCCTGTGGAAACAAAAGCACAGCCCCTCCCCAAAGGCAACACATTTCCTGACTCCCATTCTGCATCCAAGACATCCCTAAAAGATATAGGCTGGTTTAATTCAGTAGTTCCTTCCACAAAATAATGTCTCTCAGCAGCTGCTGCTCACTCAGCAGTACTTAAAAAATTCAAAGTCAACAAAGCAACATTCAGGATGCAGGCGCCCAGTGTCTCTCCCATCCTTAAGTGGCTTATTTTTTATATTACTTTATTCATTCTTTAAATACTTTATTATTTTTAATCTATCTATCTATCTATCTATCTATCTATCTATCTATCTATCTATCTATCTATCTATTTTTGTGACAGTCTATATCCATTTTTTTTTCTTTCTTTAGCACCTAAGCTCATTTTCAAGCACATTGTAATCTGTTCAGAGGTTTTCTCAGCTTGGATCTGGCTCCCCACCCTCCACCCCCCAACCTCCCCACTCCTTCATTCCCCTACCACCCCCCACATACCCTCCCAAACCCATATGTAGCATTCTTTGACCACAGGAGCCAAAGCTTAAACTGTTAGACAGAGGCAAGGCCCTCTGCCTTGCATCTCTGGCAGCTGGTCCCACCCTGTTTCCCTGAGAGTGTAGCCTCACGCCAGTAGGAGCCACATTTACTGTCTCAGCTCTGGGAAGTTGTTGAGTCCACTTTCCAGAGTCCCTGTGAGCAGCAGCTGACTACGAGTGCTTGCGGAGAGGCCCAGGCTGTTATGTGATATTTTGATCACATTCTGATGCTCCCAAGACTGTCAATAAAATTTGCTTTGAATCAGATGGCAGAGCTACTACATGACGAAAATTAATAATCACAGAGGGTTTGGAGGACTGTGGACAGATAGAGAGACAGGAAGTAGTAGGGTGGGGCTTAGAGAGGGTCTCAGCATTCATTGAATCAAGGAAAGGGACAGAGAGAGAGAGAGAGAGAGAGGAGGTCACTGGTCACTTCACCACTACTCTGATAATTCAGGCTCTTACCCTGATATCTGACTCCCAAGTTTTTATTGATAAAGAATAATTAGATAAACACTTCATCTAGGGTCCAACTTGGGGCACAAAATTTTGCAGCCATCAGAGCTGCCACTGGTTGGTTTTTCCTCCTTGGCCCAGGCCCTCTGAGCAAGTCTGGGATTTTCCTGTTACAGTCTCTCCACAACAGCCTCCAGCTGCCACCCATCTCTGGCCCCAAACTCCACAGGCCCCAAGCATCACAGGTCCCTGGGCTCCAAATACCTCTGGGTTAGCTGCCCACCATCAGCTGGCTGTGTCCTTCAGGTGGCCCTGTGCCCTCACTTCCCATACATCCCCCTGTGTCTGCTTTTCAGGCAGCTGACTCCCTCACTCCCTGGGTTGCAGGCTTCCTATAGAGGGGCTGCTGCCACAGCTGGTCGGTTGCCTCAACACCCAGTCCAGCTTTTACTGCTGCTACTGCCACACACTCTCAGACCCCAGCTACACACAAGCACCTGCAGCTGCCATCAGCCCGGCCATACACCACCTGTGTTCTCCGGCTAACCACGCTATGCAGCGACAGTCAGCCTCACACTTCACTGTCATCATCAGCAGATTTGGTGAGACACCTGGGAATTCTTAAGGGAGCAGGGTATTAGTTTTTTTTTCTAAAGTTTTTCCCCACATTAAAAATGAGAAACAGTATTATGCAGGGAGTTAGGTCTCTATATAGCTCCACAATGGATGGCTTGGAAATGGAACAATTAGCCGGGCGGTGGTGGCACACACCTTTAATCCCAGCACTGGGGAGGCAGAGGCAGGTAGATCTCTGTGAGTTTGAGGCCAGCCTGGTCTACAGACTGAGCTCCAGGACAGGCACCAAAACTACACAGAGAAACTGGTCTCAAAAAAAAAAAAAAAAAAGAAAGAAAGAAAATGGAACAATTAAATGAAGGGATAATCAATGGAGTTGGGATTGACATAATGTCAATTATAATCATTATCAGTCTTGTAATTCATGTTTTATTCTTAAAAAATTGTTTGTTGTCAGTGCCAAATACGAAAAATTGACTGGTAAGATCCAATCCTTAGAAAAACCTACTAATGAACCAGAGAAAAATATTCACACACAGACAGAGGAGTTTAGAGCAGAACCTACTTCATCATTGCATTATGAAGCTGAAGAGGAATGGCCCAAGATTATTTGAAAATCAATCTTACCATTAAAGGATGACCATCAGAAACAAACCATAAACTAATATATGTTTCTGAGAAAAATATTAAAAGGTATTATCAAAAACAGTCACTGACCCTCAGGTTGTATGAAAACAAGGCACAACAGCTGCTGATCATTCAAAGGTACCAACAGCCCTACCTTTAAAATGATTAATTGGTAAAGTGTCTGGGTGGAATAATGGCCTTTAGCATCAGGAAATTTACAGACATTACAATAGTTGGTACAGGAGCAGCTAAATGCTCAACATATTGAAGAATCAACCAGTCCTTGGAATTCTCCTATATTTATCATTAAAAAGAAATCTGGAAAATGGAGAATGGAAAACAGTCCCACCTTATGTCAATATTTTGTACAACAGTCATTAGAACTAACTCGTAATCAGTTCCCTCAATCTATAATTTACCATCATATGGATGATATCTTATTAGTTGATTCAAATGCAGATACTTTAGAGAAAATGTTTGAAGATGTAAATTTTGCCTTGTTGGGGATTAAAAATTGCTCCTGAAAAAATACAAAGAGGAGATTCTATTAATTATCTAGGATATAAGATAGGTTTACAAAAAATTCAACCACAGAAAATACAAACCAAAAGAGATCAATTATGAACTCTTAATGATTTTCAAAAATTGCTGAGATATTAACTGGCTACAGCCTACAATTGGATTGACAACTCAAGAACTAAGTAATTTATTTCAAACCTTCCAAGATGATAAGGATTTAAATATTCCATGAAAATTATCAGCTGAGGCTGAGAGAGATTTGGCTTTGGTAGAAAATAAATTACAGGATGCACATGTGGATCGTTTGGATCCAGAGCTTGATTGTATCCTAGTTATTGTATGTTCTACAGGAATTCTTTTTTTTTTTTTTTTTTTGTTTTTTTTTTTGTTTTTCGAGACAGGGTTTCTCTGTGTAGCTTTGTGCCTTTCCTGGAACTCGCTTTGGAGACCAGGCTGGCCTCGAACTCACAGAGATCTGCCTGGCTCTGCCTCCCGAGTGCTGGGATTAAAGGCGTGCGCCACCACCGTCCGGCTCCTACAGGAATTCTTAGGCAGAGAGAAGGTAGTATCTTAGAATGGATATTTTTACAATACAAACAGAGCACAAATTAAAGACTTATGTAGAAAACTTTTCTGAATAAATTCTAAAAGGAAAATCAATTTGTCAATTACCAGGAATAGACAGCAGAAATTGTGGTACATTTTGCTAATGCTGAAATTTCCTCATTATGGCAGAAAATGAATATTGGCAAAGAGCTTGCAGTAATTTTTTGGGAGAGATTAGCAACAAATATCCCCCAAACAAGAGACTTCAGTTCATAAAGAGAACTAACTGGATCCCTCCTCACATTGTATGGGGAACACCAGTTTTTGGAGCCCCTACATTCTATACTGATGCAAACAATCAAGAAAGGCAGGTTATAAGTGAGAAAATTTAAGTAAAGTGGCTCAAAGCCCTTACGGTTTTGTTCAAAAGTCAGAATTATATGCTATTCTCATGGTATTATTAGATTTTCCAGAACCTCTTAATATAGTTATTGACTCTCAATATGCAGAAAGAGTTGTTTTACATATTGAAACTGCTGGACTTGTTCCAGGTGATTCAGGATTAACTTTGTTATTTATTCAATTACAAGAAATAATCAGAAATAGAAATCATCCCTTGTATATAACACCTTTCAGGTCCCGCACAGGGTCTACCAGGCCCTCTTGCATGAGGTAATGATGAAATTGATTGGCTATTCATAGGAAATGTGCTAGAAGCCTCAGAATTTCATAAGAAACACCATGTTAATAGCAAGGTGTTGTATGATATTTTGTTTGTGTTCTGACAAAGTTTGCTTGGAGTCAGAGGGCTGGGCTAGCCACTAGTTAACCATAAAGGTGTGGAGGTCTGTACAGCAAGGAGACAGGAAGTGATAAGGTGGGACAGAGAGAGGATCTTGGCCCTTTTGGTCAGAGGAACAGAAGAGGTAGGAAGTCACTGGTGGCTGTTCTGCTTCTCTAATCTTTCTGGTTATTACTCTGATATCTGACTCCTAGTTTTTATTGGTAAGATTAATTAGAATTACACTTCATCTGGTGTCCAACTTTTGGGGCACTAATTCATGAGATAGCTGCTTGCCCATGGCTTTGCAGCCACTAGCACCCGCTGGAGCTGCATACAGGAGCTGCACCTGGTGGAGTCATATCACCATCAGCTAGGTTTTCCCTCTCTTCTCTAAGCCCTCTGAGCAAGTCTGGGATTTTCCTGTTGCAGCCTCTCTACAGCAATGTCCACAAGCCCCAAACTCCCCAAAGTTAGGGTTGGGGCAGGGCTTTGTTTTTGTCTTTCCAGGAGAATGAAGGCATCCAACTAAGGAATCTGAAGACCACCAGACAAATGAGACATCTGAAGAGATGAATCATCCAGAGAAAATGTCCCAAGAAAAAGAGTAAATTGGCCTATTGGTATATCACATCTCCAACAGGATAAAATTTCATAAATCTTCCTAAACATTTGTTTCTGCTGTCTCTACAGACACATTATACAAATGGTCTTTTTATAGTCCCAATTCAATTAAAAATTAAAGTGGGCTTTGGAGTTGTCCTCTAAACCCAAGCATCCTTGTTAAAGGAAAATCCAAAATCTCTGTCTCATGTCAGAAGAGCCACCTGATGTGGGACAGAAGAAAAACCAAAATAAGGGACTGTTCTATTGCCACTAATCTCACAATCCTTTAGTTTTATTTTGACTCTTTAAAACTTTTCTTAAGGTATAAATATTATCTCAAAATTTATAAAATTAATATATATAGTTTAAACTTTTTGTCATGATGTTAATGGTCATATAGAGTACTAATTCTAGAAAAAGACTTCTTCTAGCTTCCTATACATGATTGGGGGTTTGAATCTCAGTCAGGTAAATAGGAATTAAATTTTTGTACTCTGTATATAACAAATTATGGTCCTTTAACCTCTTTGAGATCTGGTGCATATGACATTTAAAATGTTTATGTTTTCCGCAGTGAACCATGACCATGCCTAACAGTGACCTTTGAAGTCTTCAAAAGGAGAATGGGGCCCCACAACCAGGATTCCACTGGGACTATGGTAATGCCACTAAGCTGACAAACACCACCCGAAGATTGGGTTTGAACTACAAACTGCTCAGGACAATTTTAGGTGGTGGGCTGAGATGGTCCAGCCTCATAGACTACTCCAGCCAGGACTTGAGACAAGCCCTGCACTTTCCCATCACACAGACTGGACAACAGATGATACAGCTAGCTCTCCCAGGACTTGACAATTATCCCATTTTTTTCAGGGTCCTCTAAAGGTGCCATTACCACCAGACAAAAAGAAGTAATTTTAAGAACACGATGCCCATATTCCCAAGAGGTGGGGTGGGTAGTTTTTGGTTGTTCAATGGGTTATGGATATTTGTCATCATTTAGGGCTGTTGGTTACAAGTTGTTATTGATAATGGTCAGGAAAAAGACTGAGCAAAGGATATTAGATTCAGAAATTTTGTTCTGAAAAAAAAAATGGGGATGTAGAAATAATAGGATAAAAGGGTAAATTATTGAATCTACTTTTAATCCAAAAAAGCAACTAGTAGTTTTAAATATTTTACATTGATATGAATGTTTGTTTATTGATACAAATTTAAAGTATTTTTGTTATACTGTACATATGTTTCTACTCTTGTTTAAGGTATTTGTGTATATTGATACAAATTTAAGGTATTTTTGTTAGAACATACTGTATATTACGTTTCTACTCTTTTTCAAGGTATTGTACCTATGCAGCTCATTTAACAATGTAATGTAAATTTCTAGTCCTTGAAAGTTATTATTACAAACTATTTAGGATAATAAAGAATGCAGGTTAATAGTCAGTTACCTATTATAATCAAACTTGTAGTCATGTTAGATATGTTTTCAAGGTCAAACAGAGATATATTTTAGATAGACAGATGGTCTTCAAACACTTCAGAGATCTACACAATATGGCATTTAAGATGTTTTAATAACATAAGGTTCTTTTTTTTAAGATTTTATTTATTTATTATGTATAGTGTTCTACATGCATGTATGCCTGCAGGCCAGAAAAGGGCACCAGAGCTCATTACGAATGGTTGTGAGCCACCATGTGGTTGCTGGGAATTGAACTCAGAACCTCTGGAAGAGCAGCCAGTGCTCTCAACCTCTGAGCCATCTCTCCAGCTCCCCATAAGTTTCTTTTTTAATGACAACATGAGACATGTTTTTATGAGACATGTCTGCTCCTGGCAGCACCAATCTAGTTCAGAGAAGATGATGGGCATTGAAGGAACTCCATATGGAGTTTACTTTTTTTGTGGTGGCAAAAGTTAGCCACTGAGCAAGAAAGTGCCCTTGCCTCAACTGCTGACAGTATGCTGTCCAAATTGGACAAGCAGGACAAAAAAGAAAGTGAATACTGAAACTTGCCAAGACAAGGTAGGACAGTCTTTAAAATTCCTGCTTCACAGAAAAGTCTGTCAGATATTATAAGCCTGCAGGCCAAATATGGATGCCCTAATGGTACAGAGGCCATTCTGTTTCTGCCATTTCATAGTTTTGGAAGTTGTTTGCCCTGCACTTCCTGTTTATTCAGGTAATAGTATATCCTTCTCAGGTCTCTAATGGAGATGAAGACTAGATAGTTATAATTTCCTTGTTAACAAATTCAGAAAAGAAACTCACAAAAGAGGTGTAAAGTGTATAAGGTTGAGAGATATAAAAAGATAGCTTTGGGTTGGTAATGCAAGTTAGGATATAAAGTGAATTAGGTACAAATTTCAACTCACCAAGATAGGATAGATAATGGAGTATTTTTCTTTGAATTCATCAAATGCTATGGACTAGACATTATTAATGTAATTATTATTATTATTATTTTTTGTTTTGTTTTGTTTTTTTGTTTTTCGAGACAGGGTTTCTCTGTGTAGCTTTGTGCCTTTCCTGGAACTCACTTGGTAGTCCAGGCTGGCCTCGAATTCACAGAGATCCGCCTGGCTCTGCCTCCCAAGTGCTGGGATTAAAGGCGTGCGCCACCACCGCCCAGCGACCCTGATATCTGACTCTTGATTTTTTTTTTTTTTGTTTTTTGTTTTTTTGATTTTGTTTTTGTTTTTTCAAGACAGGGTTTCTCTGTGTAACCTTGGTGCCTGTCCTGGAACTCACTCTGTAGCCCAGGCTGGCCTCGAACTCACAGAGATCTGCCTGGCTCTGCCTCCAGAGTGCTGGGATTAAAGGCGTGTGCCACCACTGCCTGGCCTGACTCCTGATTTTAATTGATAAGGTTAATTAGAATTGTGCTTCAGCAGGGGTTTAAAGAAAAATTATTCTGTCACTTGGTAACAAGCTGATGAAATTATAAGGAAATGTCCTACTTGTTCTTTGTATAACCAAACTCCACTACCTGCAGGAAGTAGTCCTATGAGTACTCATAGAAATGAAATTTGGCAACTGGATGTGTCTTATTTTGCAGAGTTTGAAAAATTAAAACATATACACCATACCATAGATACATATTCAGGATTTCAATGGGCAGCTGTGAGTTCTGAAAAGGCTGATTCTGTAATCACACATTTATTAGAAGTTATAGCCACCAGAGGAATACCTGTACAAATTAAGATTGACTATACTCCAGCATAAGTTTCTAGTAAAATGAAACAGCTTTTTGCATATTACAACATAAATCATATTACAGGTATACCACATAATCCTGTAGGGCAAGCAGTTATATAAAGATGTAATCGCTGTAGTTGGTTATTTTACTCTTTGGCTCTTTGGTGGCCCACCACCCAGCTCCCAAATAAATCATATGGAGACTTATTCTTTCTTATGAATGCCCACTGTGTAACGTTTTGGTCCTTATTTACGTCCTTTGATTACGTCATCAGCCTTCGCCGGCTTCCCAGCCTAAAAAGTGGTTGGGCCTTCTGTGGGCTCTCTCTGTCCCCTCTCCTTTGTGCTCCTTCCCCCCGTTGGTCCCCCTCTCTCCCTCTCCCCCCTTCTCTCTCTCTCTCTCTCTCTGTCTTTCTCTGTCTCTACCCCCCCCAATAAAGCTCTAAAAAGGTAACAATGGCTATGATTCTTTTAATCAGCACGCTCCTCCGCGGGCATGGCTGCTGCGGGCCGTGACCAGCCATGAGGGGCAGCGCCGCGGCACAACCAACATTGGTGCCGTGACTCGGATACACCACTGAACACCAAGGACCTGCTGACTGCTGCTGCTTGCCGCCTCTTCCCCCATCCAGAGAGACCGTGAGACCGCGAGTGCGTGCGCGCGTACCTCGCCGCCTCCGCTGGACCCCCACACCGCCACCGCCATGATTCTTCACCACAGTAAGTCCGCTGTTCTTGCGCGGCTGTTGTCTGAGCTATGTTCTTTGCGACAGACACCCCGGGGGTTGTCCTCGAGCTGCACCAGCAACGGCACATTTTCATTTCTGATGAGAAAGTAAATGCTGTCTTGGTCTACCGGGTGGATCAACTGTGGTGCAGTTGCAGCCCTTCACATCCCTTGATGAAGAGGATGGTGAACTTGAGCTGATTCATGGATCTCTCTCCACTCCATGGGGACGCCCAAGATTGTAGTCTGATCCCAGTTTGTTATTTTAATTTTTAATTTTTTCTCTCGGCTACAGCCATGCGACAAAAGGGCGGATATATTGGTGGATGGGGCGGGCACCGGTAAACCTGGCCTCATAACAGCGTAAATCTGGCCGCATAACAGAGTCACGGGAACTTCTGCCAGAGAACGGGCAAATAAGAGTTCCTTTATCTCCAAGCTTTCTGCTAAAGTTCTGAAACCCTTCTCCCTCCCCACTTCTGCATCTGCCACATGCAACCTATTCTGTCTGACTTCCGCCGGCGGTGGGCGGGCTCAAATGGGCGGGCTTGGGCAGCTTCTAGGACTCGCCCTAACTCACCTTAACTCCACCCACTCATTCTCAAACTGCCTTGAGAAGCACAGATGAGTCTAAAAGCGGCTAAGATCCATACAAATAAGTTTACAGTAGTCAGGATGGCTCTTAAGCCAAAAAAAAAAAAAAAAAAAAAAAGCCAGCTTATAGCCTCAGACAAGTCTTCCGGAAAGGATCGGTTTATAGTCTGCCTACTGGCAGATCTTCCAAAAGCTGTTCTTAAGCCATCAATCAGCAGGAAAAAAAAATATTCAGGACATAGAGTAAAATTCATCTCTTGTTCCCCAGACCTCCCCGACTAAAACTTAAGCATCTGGAGAGCAAGGCTCCTGACCCCACAGGCAAAAGAGTCATCTGTGGCATTTAAGGTGTGCCAGGGAAAAGATAAACGTCCAAAAACAAAATTGCCAAGTGCTGGCACTCGCTGACTCCCAAAAGCTGTTGGGTCCCTGTTTTAAGTGAGGAAAAGGCCACGGGCTAGCGAATGCCCTGCCAGGCCATTGACAGCCTTGTTAAAAGTGCCGCCTAGAAAGACAGAGTCAGCTGACTGCCCCCAGGCGCCAAGACGTATGGGTACATCAAGCTAAGACCTTCAGCAGACCTAGGCTTGGCTACAGACATGGCAGGGGACCCAGAACGCAGCAGGGAAGTGATCTGCTTCTTTCCTTCTGGACACCAGAGCCACTGACTCAGTCCTGGGAGTTTTGGGATGCCACCTCTCCTTTATTGTCGGGTACAGAGGACAGCCTTACCACCTCACCAGATTTAATTGCACTTTCAGAGTTACTTAATGAAAAAAGATTTCCACCTAAAATAAGAGCTCATTGCTTCACTCCAGATCCACTGCCTGTGTTTCTCATGTGCATTCAGACAGAGCCCTAATCTTTGCCTTGTCCCTAATTCAAAAAAAAAAAAGTTTTTTTTTCTCATACACCACAAGCTTTTCTCTTCCCAGTTCCCTGTTCTAACTCACTGTTCAGCTAATGGTACAGGACCACCACAGAACCGGAGTCCAGAGATCATCAAATAAGAAACTGTAACAGCTAAAAGGTATTTACACCCCCAGACCCAAAAGCGTCTGGGTGCTACAAAAAGACTTTAATGTAAACATCTATTACTATGAGATGCTTTTAACAATTGATCACCTGTCTCCTAGATGCTGAACCAGTAAAGGAAACAGGTACTTTAAAATAATCTGTCTCTGATAAAGCTTAACATGTTTCAAAATCCATAGGGACAGGCCGATCTACCTCAGATAAATGTCAACATAAAATAATAATGATTCTTTTATCTCTCTAAGTTTTTTCTGTGTCACCAGCATCTTGTCAAACAGAAAGTTCCCAGCCACAGCCAAGAGGGATACATGTCTCCAGAGCAAACGGATGACAGACAGCATCCCACAACGCCTGTCTACCTCGGAAGACTCCCCTTCTCCATTCCCCCAAGAGCCAACCAACATCCAAAAGTCAGCTGGAAGCAGTTTTTGAGAGGAACGACTCCCCTAGTCCCATCTACCTGCTTTTTTTATAATAAGGGAAAGTCTGGGATGTAAGGATTTGGTCCTTATTTACGTCCTTTAATTACGTCATCAGCCTTCCCCGGCTTCCCAGCCTAAAAAGCGGGTGGGCCCTCTGTGGGCTCTCTGTCCCCTCTCCTTTGCGCTCCTTCCCCCGTCGGTCCCCCTCTCTCCCTCTTCTCCCCCCTTCTCTCTCTCTCTCTCTCTCTCTCTCTCTCTCTTTCTCTCTCTCTCTGTCTTTCTCTGTCTCTACCCCCCCCCAATAAAGCTCTAAAAAGGTAACCATGGCTATGATTCTTTTAATCAGCACGCTCCTCCGCGGGCATGGCCGCCGCGGGCGGTGACCAGCCACGAGGGGCAGCGCCACGGCATAACCAACACACTGGCCTTAGCTTGGCTTATTTCTATCCAGCTTTTCTTAAATTGTCCCATCTATCTTTTGCCTCTAGAATTTTACTTTTCCCTGTTCTACATACCTCTCTTTACTTTTTACTCTGTGGCTGGCTGTGTAGCTGGGTGGCTGGCCCCTGACATCCTCCTCTCCTCCTTTTCTCACTGTTTGTTCCTCCTTCCCAGATTTTCCTCCTTGTCATTGTTTGCTGTGGCATGGGTGTGTGGGTACATGCAGGTCCATGGAAAGAAGACTCAGAGGCACCTTAAGAATGAATTTAGCCTTTGGTGGCTGCAAGGGGTGGGGGGTCCAGCCTCTAAGGACTGAAGCACTTTCCCTTTGCCTAGAGCATTTTTATTTCCTCTCTATTTACAGTTTAGCCAGTTAATTTCCATATGCTCAAAACAACCTGAAAGGAGCTCCCAAAGATACAATGCCAAGTGCAAATTCCTCGATTTCTCAAGTACCATGGGTTTCTAGGTTTCCTGAACCAAGTTTTGCATAGGTTTTGTAACCTTAGGAGACTCTCAGACAAGAATCACAAAGGGTGGCTAGAGCAACAAAAGGTATTGGTTAAACAAAGGATGGATTAGGGCTAGGAGCTATGCTCTGGAGCCAGGTCAGGTGTAGCTCAGCAGGAATGCAGCCACCGATCCCCCTTTCTCTCTCTCTCTCTCTCTCTCTCTCTCTCTCTCTCTCTCTCTCTCTCTCTCTCTATATGTATATATATATATATATATATATATATATAATCAATTATCTTGTAGGTTATGCAGCCTTACAGCAAATATAGCCATCTTTCTATCTGTTTGTCTTACAGTCTTACCCAAGTATACCAAAACACATTTTAAAGCCAATAAAGTTACTATTGCTAGATCAAGGGCAACACCTACTAGGATAAGAAATCTATTAAAGTGATTCATGGGATTGAATGAGGCTATGGTCTGCTAGATTCTCCATAATGTCTATTCCTGTCATATCGGGTAACTTTTTTGCAAATGTTTCTTTAATTTCTTTCTGTAAATCAAAAACTATTTGAGAAGAACTAGGGTGACCCAACAAATGCATCCTAATTTTTCCCAATCATACTTGCTTTCACTAAATCTTAAGTGTGTGATACAAAAACAAGAAACATTCCAATCCCATTTTAATTTCATCTACTCCTTCAAAATTTCTAACTGATCCCCTAACAATACAACAGCTTGCCTTATTTCAGCTAATTCATTTACTATCTCATTATCAATCTTATTTTGTTCAATCCAAAGTTCTTCTGAATGTCTATGCCAGCCTCTAATGAATTCAGCAGTTTGGATTTCTTTATAAAGTGTCACTCCAGTGGTTGCTGCTGTAGCCATCCAAAGTTCTTCTGAATGTCTATGCCAGCCTCTAATGAATTCAGCAGTTTGGATTTCTTTATAAAGTGTCACTCCAGTGGTTGCTGCTGTAGCCATCAATGCAACGACTCCCATAATAAATCAATCAATCACCAGTCCAACCATATGATGTGTTCTTTTTAGTATTCTTTTAACGAACTTCTGTACCAGGATCATCACAGGAGAGTCTTGCCATGGCCTTGACGACTTCACTGATATCCAGATTGCTGGCCTTGCTCTAAGAATATATAAACATTCAAAGGTCATATTTAAAAACATACTAGAATTAACACAGGTATGAAGGGTACACCGTTCACAATGATGCTGTAATTATTAGGGTGCCATTGTACAGGCCCCTTTAATAGCAGGTAAGATAATGGTACACATGCCATAAAAGGATGGCTTTGATTTAGTCTAAAAGACAGAGTGTACTTACCATCCTTAATGTTTAATTTTCCTTCCCATGCCTTAAGAGGGTGGAAGGCATTTGCTAATTTCCACAAGTTAGTCTGAACTGAGTCATCAAATTGCAGGAGAGGACTTGCCATTCCAACTCTATGCCACTGAATAGGTTCATCAATAGAAGCACTGGTTTTCACAGTTCCATTTATATTATACCATTTCCATCTTAACTCTGAGTGAGAATATTTCCCTTGAGGGGAGCCATAAGGGTTCCAATCAATGAGGTCTCCTTGGGAGGTATTAATTAGCATTCGGGGTTTCTCTCTTACACTGTTGCCAGTGTACCCAGTCAGATTCCTTGTTGGTAACTCTCATCTCACAGAACAGTAGATTTATGGAACTAGTAGCATTAATCTCTTGTCCTTTAAAACTGGATGCATGAAGCATATAAATCTTATTATGATAATCTTGGGTAGTGTTGACTATGGATAGTCATACTTGAGAGGTTATTTTTTGGCATTGAATTCCATTTTCCATGCAAATAGGTATTCCTTGTACTCCAACACTTTAATTGTCAATCACTTTACCCTCTTTCATTGGCTGAGCGGAACCTCGGTTGTCATAAGGACCAGGTAGCCAAGATGATTCATTAACCATTACAGGAATATTCATATCTCCCCAACTTACTGCTATGTTAATTGGAGGATTGGGGATATAAGCCCAATAATTATGATCCATCCCTTTTATCTGCACTGTTACCACGGAAAGCATGGCTAGAAATAAGTTTGTAGCATTCGGAGGCTTGTGAGTCATGCGAAGTACCATCTCTCCTTTATCACACAAACTCTTAAGCTGTCCCTAGGTGGGAGGATTAGTTGTTTGTTGTAAAGGTCTCCTGTGTCTCAACTTTGGCAGAGACATTCCTGCATCTGCAGCATCTTGGAGATGTCTTTTGCTCATGGCAGATTTATTTATTATCTCCCGTGGAAACATAAGCACAACCTCGGCCCTAACTCAACACTTTCCCTGGACTACTTTGATGCTAAAATATTTATAGTACATGGGCTGACTTGATTCAGCAGTTCTTCCCATAACTCAGTTTTGTTCCTGTTTCATTAGCACTTAAAAAGATTTTTTTTAAGTTAGTAGGGTATTATGCAGTCTATCTCTGGGTGTCCTCATATCCCCCTTCTGTTTAACAAGCATCTCTTTTAGGGTGAGGTTAGATCTCTCAACAATTGCTTGTCCTGTAGGATTGTATGGCATCCTGGTAACATGTTTTATGTTGTAACGTGCAAAAAAAATTGCTTCATTTTACTGGAAACGTAAGCTAGGGTATTATCAGTCTTTTTTTTTCTCCTTTCTTTCTTTCTTTCTTTCTTTCTTTCTTTCTTTCTTTCTTTCTTTCTTTCTTTCTTTCTTTTTGGTTTTTTTGAGACAGGGTTTCACTGTGTAGCTTTGTGCCTTTTCTGGAACTCACTCTGTAGCCCAGAACTCACAGAGATCCACCTGCCTCTGCCTCCCGAGTGCTGGGATTAAAGGCGTGTGCCACCACTGCCCAGCTGGGAGAAGGTCTTAAATACAGGCTTACAGCACAATGGGAGAACCCCGGAGGGCAGAAGTTTGCTATCGATGTTTTACAATCTTGCATCTAAGCTGTTAACACCCTTATGTAGGATACACAGACAAGGAACTTCCCTTAAGCATTCAGGAGGTTGAAACCCGGCAGGGAATTAGCATAGGGAGGATATCAAGGTCACGGTCAGCAAACAAGGCAACAGTTACCCAAAACGGGGGCCAGGGCCCTACAGGTCCCCCTTTTACTAAAAAATGAGCTTCTGACTTAGGTTGTGTATCAGTCTTAATTTGTACCAGTATGCCCATTACAGCCATTATTTTTAATAATGTATAATTATAGAATCTGCCTTTTCAGAACTTAAGGCAGATGTCCATTGGAATCCAGAGTAAGTGTCAATGGTATGATAAACATAAGATAAAGAGACAGAAAGACAGAAAGGAGAGAGGAAGAGGAAAAACAGAGGTGTGTGCACCTCATGTCGGAGAGGAAAGAGAGACAGGAAGGGGAGGGGTTTTCCTTAAAGTGAGGCTTTCACATCAGGACTCAGGGCTGCACCAAGGGGAGGGATTTCAAGGAGCAGGTCAGAATATTAACACTTCCCATAATTCCCACAGCTCAAACACCTCTGGGATTAAGCATCCAATACATGGACTCATCCAGACAATACCACTGTTTTTAGCTTCTTCTAGCTCTTCACAGCTCTTCCTGTTGAGATCTTAAACTAGGAGGAGGAAGACTCAATTCTGTTTTATTTTCTATGCTGTTTCCTTTGAAAGGGAAAAATCAGTAGCCATCTTGAGAGATGCTTCCCCCTCCCCTCCTCCAAAGGTATCTGCTGTCCAGCAGTTTTAGAAGTGACCAGAAGTTGAACTTATAAGTCTGGGACAATCAATCTATGTATCCTGGACTTGACAAAACAAGATATGGGGAGTAATGGGCTCAACTGACCAGAAGTTGAATTTATAGGAGAGCAGGACTGCAACAATAAATCTGAATGTGTATATATCCTGGGTTCAACAAAAGCAGGACATAGGGAGTAAAAATTCATGTCTCTGTAGATACCCTGAATCCTGTTAGCCATTAGTAACCTCATGCTTACAGTTCAGCCAGTAACTTCCAAGAACTACTTCACCCCTAGCCTTCTTGTCCAATCCCAAGCTGCATGTAAACCTTCCCTATATAAACCCCTTCAAGTGAGTGCTCGGGGCGTTCTCCTCCACCCGCTGTGTCAGATGTTGGACGAGGACCAAGCCCTGGACTTGCTTGTTTCGTTATTAAAAACCTCTGTGTGCTTGCATCGGATATCGGCTCTGTGGTGGTCTTGCTTGGGGTTCTTGCGACCTGGGCACAACACCTTCTAAAGAACAGGCACTGTTGGGGGCTGGAGAGATGGCTCAGAGGTTAAGAGCCTGCACTGTTCTTGTAGAGGACCTGAGTTCCTTGTGGAGTTCCCAGCAGCCACATCAGGCAGCTCACCACCACTTGTAACTCCAGCTTCATGGGATCTGATGCCCTGCTCTTCTCAGACTACCGTATT